GTGATAAGGCCACACATGGGTAAGGTAGGTACCTTTCTCTGAAGCACATGTGCTATCTCCACCCGTGTACATATTGGTCGTATGCTAAATAAAAGCCTTGCTATGAGTCTGCTATCGTCATTGTCCTTGCGTGGAAGAATGGCGGAGGCTGGTGTCTCAAAAAGCTCAGGGAAGCAGCTGAAACTTTCCCTCTTGAGGCCCCCAATTCTACCTTACTAAGGTAGGTGTAAGTTACAGAAGGTACCTAACCCTAGAAAGGTAGGTACCGTAAGGTAGTTTCTAAAACGGATGAGTTAGGCTGATATTATTAGTGGCCTCAGGCAAGGGTCATGTCCTTGAGAAGCGCCTAATCATCGGCAGTCCCAGTAATCTAACCACTAAAATCCCCAAGATCGGAACTTAGTCTACCTTACTATTTTACCTAGATATATTAATACTGTCACTCATAAGATAGGTGCGCCGTGCGGACTTACGGCCCAAGACGATCAGCATTGATCCAAGTCCACCATTGAGAACAATCTGCTAATCCACCACAAGTGGTGGCTGGTATGATTTTTGGGGCTTGTTCGTCTCACTCTTACACTTTCCTTGACTTTGTTTCCTTCATCTTCACGTAATTACGGTGTTCCAGTGACTTTCTCTCCCTTCCCACCTCACGCCCTCTCCAGGTGTCAGTTGGCCCCCTCTCTTGCCCTTTCGGCGACCTGGGTTTGTTCCCACAACTTCCCCGGAATATCGCCCTGTTGCCCGTGTTGTTTAAAGGAAGGTGTTCCCAAGGTGTTCCCACGAATGCAGTCTACCTTGAGCGGTTCGTCTCGCTCCCAGCGAAGTCCACCTCGACACGTTCCCGCTGGGTCTGCGAGCAGTGCCGATTCCGCCATGACCTCGCAGTCTTCCGCACCACGCAGTTCATCCAGCTCGGGCAGGTCTCAGTCGTCAAGGACTGTTGTGGTAAGCATATTGCCCGTTCTGTCGTGCTTTCCGACTGTACCTTTCGAGATACTGGCTTGGTTTCTTGTTTTTCTGCCTTGTTTGTGCTAACGACGCTTTCTCTGTTCAAATCCTCACAGCCCGATAGACAAATTTCCCAAATCGAGAAAAGTGTCACCCATCTCCTTGTCGCTACAAAACAACTACTGGAGACCTTGACTCAATGGTCTCGAAGACAGGCATCTGAGAATGAAGTCTCAGACGTCTATGTACGACTGGGCTACGAATTTAACCTAGCCTGCCGCGCCTTCAATGCGATTGGTGTTGATACCTCCGACCTGGGCCCAGTCCCTGACCTCCTCCGCACAATCCTCGAGGATACACTGAGCCAGGATGCGTCTCCTCAGAGCCTCGATCGATATCTGCCTCGTATTCGTGACATAATTATCAACCTCCTCCATGGTCTCAAGAAGAAGCAGGCTCGCTTGCGTTCGCGGCAGCAAAGGGAAGAAAGCCGCCCCTTACCTGGTCGGCAGGCAAGCTCGGGGAGTGCCGTTATAAACCAGATGTATGAGGAAGCCGCAGCCACCGCCAGTTCGCCGAAAAGGCCAGGTAATCGTCGGCATGGAAGCAGTGGCTCACTCGAAGACCAGTCCGGCGGGGCTCATGCTGGTTCTACAGTGCAACCCTCAAGCGACACGAAGGGTACTAGCTACTCGGAGAGGGAAGCGTCAAGACGAGAGGCGCAGCAGATCCTATCTCAGCCATCGCAACCTGAGACCGAAACTTCCTCCAAGGTAGCCATGCCTTCACCCGACTTCTCTGGTTATCCTACCCCTCCCCCTCCGCCCCCTCCTCCCAAGCAGGACGATGCCTTGGGTGCCCTCCAAAGAAGTGGAGAACTGGAAAGACGAGCCTCGCGGCGGTTTTCTGCCTACCAAATACAGAAACATTTGGGAGCATCGACGAATGGTGTCCCCGTTCTGCCAACACAGAATTCTCCCGTCCCAAATCGCGGTCGTGATGTCCGCGAATCTTTGAATGCAGTACGCTTGCGAGGGTCTTATGCACACGCGAGACAACGGTCGACGAATCGTCCGCAAGATGCGGTTACCCCAAGCAAAACCGCGAAGCCATTGCCATCCTCTCACCTTGCGCAAGGAGGAGAGAGCGAGCTCACCAAGGCTCGCACCGCATCTCCGACAGAGTCTCAGGCAAATGCTTCCGTTGCATCCCAAATACGTCCGGACAAAGTGCCACTCCGATCTGAAGATGGTACGATCGATAGCCCTACAGTCGCCGGAAAACAGCCTGGGCTGCCTCAGTCCGCCGAGGAACCATCACTGGCAGAGGCATTTGAACCGACCAAGGATTCTTCCATACCCAATGAAGGAGCAGCGCCGGGCACACCAAGCTCAACCATGCAAAGACCGTCTACCGGTGTATCAACTCCACCGCAGACCTCGCAGTTTGCATCTGAACAGCCGTCCCCCGGGAAAGAACTTACCTTATTTTTACAGTACAAAAGCAAGATCAAAAAATATGTTCTTCCGGAAGGCTACAGCGGTTTGACCATCGGAAGACTGCAGCTTGCGTTCATTGAGAAGTTTGCGTGGAACACGCACAACAACGGGGTCGATCTGCCAGAGATCTATATTCAAGACCCGATCTCTGGGGTGCGGCATGAATTGGAAGATTTGAATGACGTCAAAGATAGGTCAGTTCTTGTCTTAAATGTGGATATACTTGACGAGGTCAAGAAACACTTCGATGATGAGCTTGGAGGAGTTCGCCGTCTGATTGAAGGCGTTAAGGGTTCTCTTGAAGGACAAGAATGCATCATCCAGCGCGTGTCAGACCGTCAGCTAGAGGCCGCAAAGGAGATTGCTCGCCTGGCCGCCGCGCCCCCCGTCTCAATTCCGACTTCTCTTCCAGATGGAACCGCTCGGAAGGGCCCTATTACTGGAAGTAGCAGCCAACTGGCTGAGCTTCAGAGCCTGAAGCGTGATCTTGCAGTGCTACGGCAGACATACTCGAATTTCTCGTCGGATATTGCCAGCTCCATGAATGCGATTCGTGTTAAGGCAAATGGTGTGAAATCTGCAGCTGCAGATGTTGCCGTGCCGTCCTATGAAGGAGACGCTGGTCGTGCCCGTGTCAACGCCGGCAAAAAAGAACTCGCAGATGAGTCGGAACGACTCGTTGGGCGCGTCGACGACCTTCAGGATTTGGTTGAAGATCTTCGTAAAGACGTGGTATCACGTGGAGTCCGACCACTCCCAAGGCAGCTAGAAAGCGTCAGCAAAGAAATTAGCGCCGTCACCAAGGAGATGAAGAAGATGCAAGAATTCCTGAAGCGGGAGAAACCGATTTGGACGAAGATTTGGGAGAAGGAGCTCCAGCTTGTGTGTGAGGAACGCGATCAATTGACTATGCAGGAAGATCTGGCCGCCGATCTTGAAGATGATCTCGAGAAGGCCGCTCAGACTTTTGCTCTAGTTGAACAAGCTACCAAACAGCAGGCGTTGCAGCAGAATGTCAACGGAGGCGTTGCTCTGCGAAACACCTCGCGCAACGTGGTTATTGACCCAGCGGTCGACCCCATGAAGGCGAAGGACGACGTCCTGGGTGAGGTTCGCGCACTCCAGCCTAATCATGAATCGAGATTAGAAGCGATCGAAAGGGCAGAAAAAGCTCGACAGAAGGAACTCGAGAATCGTCGGATAGGGCTTTTCCAGAAAGAGCTTGGGGCGTTTGTTCAAGAGGGAAAGCTGAAGAAGAGCGGCGGCGTGGAAGAAGCTGAGCGACAACGTCGAGTCAAAGACGATCGTATCCGGAAGGAGGTTTGGGAAAGACAGCAAGCCCGAGCAGCAGAAATGGAGAAGGCAGAAGCGGAATCGGCAGCGGCAGCTTCTGCCCAACCCGAGCAGTCTGACCAGTCTGAGCAGCCTGAGCAGCCTGAGCAGCCTTCAATCAAAGATTCGCCAGAAGACAACACTGAAGCAAGTGCTGACAATGGAGACTCGACGAGCAAGGGCGAGGAAAAGACGACACATTCGGCACAGGCCTCGGCGTCGGAGGCAATCAACGGAGAAGGAGAAGATACTAAGGAGGACGAGCCAACGACAAGTGAAGGCCCAGTAGACTCGTCAACATAATAACTCCTGTTGTTTGTCTACTTTCTACGCCATTGAGCACGTCAAACGACCTGCTCTACCCCTACCAAGGCTCTTCTAGAGCACTTGGCCGCACCAAAGCGGCTCGTTTGCGATTTTTGTATTTTTGTTTTACTTTTCATTCTTTCTCTTCCCTTTCCCCTTTCACAGTCGTCGTCTCATTGCACTTTGTTCTTATCATGCCAGTACTCTGTCTTATCCAGGTTCATCTGTGTTTTTCTCCCTGTCATTACATTGTTCGGAAGCGTGAGCATTGCATGTTGCTGACGATACCCCTGCCCTCATGCGGCGTGTTATGACCCTTGTGATGATACTTTTGTCTTTGCATCCTTTGACATATTGCAGCTTCAAGTAATTTTATACTACCTCAACGAGGAATAGAATATGTGCATACTGTGAAACTCGTATAGACCTCCCATGGGCAGTTAAGGAAGACCCTAGCTAGCTATCTAATCTCTCGTAATATCAATACACATGCGTTCAAGGATTTGATACTCGATTGCGCTGCATAAAAAAGCGGTGAGTAACGATTCTCTGTATTGCCAGCAGAATCAGATGTTAAGAGTCCCCAGCCACATCTTTATTATTATTTTCATGTTTCAGGCCTGCAGTGCGCTGTTATTTTGTTTCTTCTCTTTTATACTACGAGAGCCCTGTGCGGACTTCATGACATGAGAACTACTGTATCTACTGTTGTCAAGCCTCTGTTTTGGCTGATTCTCGACTGTCATTCTAATTTGCCGACCTTATCGATAGGCACCTGAAAGCCCGGTTAAGCTATATACCTGTGCTTGATCGACGACTCATTGTCGCTCTGTAAGATGGTTCCATCTGCTTCTTAAGACTAAATTGATGATACTAATCGAGTCAAAGCTACAGAGGGTACGCGGATCGATGCGGCCTATCCATTTCATAGTCTGGGCCCTAGCACCCGCGTCGATTCTGGTGCATGCCTTCTCAGCGAATGGCAGCTCGTCGTCAACTTCAGCCATCAAGGATCTCTCCCGACGGAATGACGACTTGCACTCTGAATTCGCAGGGGCAGTCATCCGCGGTGTCAAGAAGATGTCCGAGGATGAGGGGGAGAAGTTCTTCTTTAATTATTGGGACTTTGAAGGGGCACACGAGGTTGGTCTGACCACAACCGAGACGTATAGCTCTCAAAGCTACGGCAACCACGAGGCACCGGAGATCCAGCCTCGGGCATATCCATTTCGGCCGTCGGTGCCGATTAATATGGGCTTCAGCCCGCTGTTCCGGCGAGATTTCAAGTGCCCGACTGGCACTTTCGCTTGTACGGCGATTGACCGGCCGGACAGCTGTTGTGGTGCTGGAGATACCTGTGTGCTGGTCCAGGACACTGGGTTGGGTGACGTAGGCTGCTGTCCTCAAGGCCAGACTTGTTCTGGCGTCATCGGGTCCTGTCAGCAGGGGTACATGAGCTGTCCGGCTTCCATGGGAGGCGGTTGCTGTATTCCCGGCTATGAGTGTGTCAGTGGCGGATGTAAGTTTCAGGTTGCTGACTCTGCGGCTCGGATTGAGTTTATCTGCGTGATAGGCTGATTAATGTTCATTTGCACAGGTGCCAACGTCTTCACGGTGACGATAACCTTGAGTTCCACCGTCATAGTGTCGACTGGTACTCGGACCGTTCCTCCAGAGACAACCCACTCCTCGAGCAGCAGCACTAGCAGCACCAGCAGCAGGACAACACAATCCACAGGCGGACTGACGCCTCCAGCTCGACCTACCAGCCTCTCCACCGCCACCACCTCCCAGAGCAGCCAGACAGGCTCAATCTGTCCGACCGGGTTCTATGCGTGTTCTGCTTATTACGAAGGAGGCTGCTGCCGGACAGGGCGAGACTGTGACACTACGTCCTGCCCTGCGAAGGCATCATCGACCATCACATCGGACGGCCGTACCATCGTCGTGCCAGCCCAAACGACGACAGCGGCCAGTGGAACGGGACGATGCGCCAGCGGCTGGTTTAGCTGTGCAGACACTGTGGGTGGAGGATGCTGCCCAACTGGGTATGCATGTGGTTCCAGCTGTACCGCTGTAGCAAGTGTATCTGCTAGCGGAACCCTGGCCAAGAGCCAGCCGGAGAATGAAGCCAGCCGGCACTCGATCAGGGCGATATGGGCGATTGGTGCTCTAGGGTTGATGATGTTGTGGATATAGACTCCGTGATGACTGAATGTGTTTATGCATAATGATGATGACAATGACGCCGATAATGACGAGAACAATAGAATGATATATCGTCCCCTAATATCTCGAAAAGTAACAGTAAACGGCTCTTATCGGGTAAATGAATGCGGAAAAACAGACCCCGTGGGGCGAGTTCCTGAGGACAGGACGGCACGTGGGGGCAGCGAATATTACCCGATCGGGACGACGCCCGGTGAGCAAGCACCGACACTCTCCGACACCGCAGAACCTCGTTTACTATCTTCACCACTGCTTCAGGCTCAAGCTTGCGTTCAATTATTTTGCTTTCCCTGCTGGTGTCAGGTCTGTGCTCGCTTAATATAGTTCTTTTGGCCTCTGTATCTGAAATTGATTAGGGTCTGGTCATTTCGCATTTCTTTGTTTATCTCACTCCGGATAATCGCTTGCCCACCATGTCGTCTAGCAACCAAAAGCCTCTTCCGTTTGCCTACCAGTTCGCCGCTGGAGCTGTCGCTGGCGTATCAGAAGTATGAGCTCGCTGAGATCTATCGGTTCCCATGTTCTCGAGTGCTAACTCCGCGGTGCTTCCAGATTCTTGTCATGTACGCGATACCTCGGTCAAACCCCACCCATTACCTCACTTTAGCCCGTTAACGAATGCGATTTTAAATTACACAGGTACCCATTGGATGTGGTCAAGACACGAGTGTAAGTGCTCTGGAAACTTTGGACGCGCGAATGCGATCGTGCGAAGTCGGGTTGAAAGGAAGCGCAGCTGACGTGGGCTCATCATGCCACAACTTACAGGCAACTTCAATCCAATGTCGCTACCACCGCTGCAGAGGAAAGATACAATGGCATGTTTGATTGCTTCCGCAAGATCATCAAGAATGAAGGGTAGGCCATATGCACATATGCGCGGAACTCATACCGTCCCTATTAGGCGGGAAGAAATAACCGGTGAATGTCGGAAGCTAATTCTATGACTCTGAGCAGATTCTCACGTCTATACCGCGGTATCTCGGCCCCCATCCTGATGGAGGCTCCCAAGCGTGCGACCAAGTTCGCCGCCAACGACAGCTGGGGCTCGTTCTACCGGGGCCTGTTCGGCGTGCAGCAGCAGACACAGTCGTTGGCCGTGCTGACGGGTGCCACCGCGGGCGCCACCGAGGCCTTCGTGGTCGTGCCCTTTGAGCTGGTCAAGATCCGTCTGCAGGACCGCGCCTCCGCGGGCAAGTACAACGGTATGCTGGACGTGGTGCGCAAGATCATCGCCACCGAGGGCCCTCTTGCCATGTACAACGGTCTCGAGTCGACGCTGTGGCGTCACATCCTCTGGAACGGTGGCTACTTCGGCTGCATCTTCCAGGTCCGCGCGCAGCTCCCCGCCCCAGAACCCGGCAACAAGTCCCAGCAGACCCGCAACGACCTGATCGCCGGTACCATCGGTGGTATCGCCGGTACCGTCCTCAACACCCCCATGGACGTCGTTAAGTCGCGCATCCAGAACTCCCCCAAGGTCGCCGGCCAGGTGCCCAAGTACAACTGGGCCTGGCCTGCCGTTGGCACCGTCATGAAGGAAGAAGGTTTCGGCGCCCTCTACAAGGGCTTCATCCCCAAGGTTCTCCGTCTGGGTCCTGGTGGTGGTATTCTGCTTGTTGTTTTCACGGGTGTCATGGACTTTTTCCGTAAGATGCGCGGCGAGTAGAAGATGTATTTTATTTAGCAGGAGAGGCCAAAAAAATTATTTAGGATTTAGATGAATTGACATGTCTCGCCGACATAGTAATGTCTACGATTGTGAGAGGCGTTGTAAATAGTGACGATTGTAATAGGCCAGCGTATTTCTACAGAATCCGGCCAATGTCTAGCTACCGGGTCACACTCAATACGTAGGAAAGGTTGCGTTATTCGTATTTGAAAGCCCTTGATTGATTAGAACAACTGATAAAGCACTAATGATTAGGAATCGAGAGCCGCTCGTTCACAACAACAGTCAAAGGTACATTGCAAACAAAGCCGTAGCGCAAAGATCCGCATGTAAGAAGAAAGCATCCGAAACAGGCAGAGAACACAAGACAGCCGTGTATGTTAAGAGGAGAAAGGGAAACAGGGTATCGATATAATGTAAACAGAACATATGCTGGAGACTGAAAAAGGAAAAACCAAGGCGAGTCAACAGGTGGTGCAAGGGCTGTTGCTGGTGTGAGATTACCGCCGAGGGAAATAAAACACTGTAGTCATTCATAAACTGGTGCTATGCAGCGATATCGACGTCGAGATGCAACATAACACCGAGGTCTGGGAAAGCTGGAAAGAATGAAAAGGAAGAAGGAAATAGAACAAACAAGATAGATCTTGAACGGACAAACCCATGAATATAAAACAGTAATCAGGTACACTCAATAGCCCAAAGAATAACAAGCGACAGATGACGAAACCATTAGATCCGGATGGTAAGGTCGAAAATGACGAGATGTCAAGACTTCGTACGCCGGTCAACTGCTGAACCCTATCCCTCCGTGTGACGCCTGTGTATGCAATATGTCATGACATGCACTCGTAGAAATAACGATCGATTGAGTTGCGATCTCACAGAAATGGAGAGATACTTTACTGCAGCTCCATTGCGTACTCATCTTCTTCCTTGAAGCTCATTCCCGCGTGGCCGGAGCTGTTCCAGTATTGTGCTTGACCCGAGTTCCCGCCGTTGCTGCTGCCACCACTGTTGTAGGACGGGCTGAGACTCTGCGGGCTCAGCGCCCCGTTCTGGGAAATGGGCTCGCCCGCTAAGTTGGTATGCTTGGGCACTCTCAAGCCGCTGCCGGGTCCTCGGCTGTAAGTGAAGGTGCTAGGATCGTTCTTCTCCAAGGCGTCCAGGATCTCACTCCGCATGCGCTTCTCCTCCTCCGTTTGTTCAAACGGCCAGGTGCCTCCGAGACTAGTGATCAACTCCGCGAGCTCAGACTCCTGCTGCAGCTTAACGTGCAGAGCCCACATCAAGTCGCGCATCCAACCCACGGCACCGTTCAGGATGTCACCCTTGTTAGGGCCCTTCTCCTTCTCCTCGATGGGAAGACCCATAGTGATATTACCAGCAGTAGCACGACGGCCATTGCCACCGGCCAGGAGAGAGGTGGCTGCGTTTGAACCGGATCCATTCCCTGACATGGCACTGTTATTGACGAGTTGTTTCCGGACCTTGTCATCCTCCAGACGATGTTGCGGCACGAGGTGCGAGAGATCCTGAATACGCTCGTTGATGTTGTCTCGCCGACGGCGCTCGACCAGGTTGTGCGAAGCTCTCCGGCGCCGACGCTTTGCTTCTTGCGATTCCAAATCCTGGGTGCTGCCCGGCATGTGTGTATCAACCTTGGCGGGCAAAGACGCATGCTTGCCAGACTTGAGGATCTCCGAGATGGCGGCATGATGAGAGGGATGGCCCGGCGATGAAATGGGGGACTCCATACCGAAGGAGTGAGCGCTTCCGGGAGTGCCATCCCACTGGTTGGACAAAGTCTTCTGATGCCGTGGTTGCAATCCAGTACGAATCGGTTGTGTAGGGAAACTACCAGATTCCGGAGTTCCAAGAGTCAGGGCACCCAAAGCTGGAGTTTTAGGGGTCATGGGACTGCGTCCATCGGAAGACGTGCGGTCGATCGCCTGTAGACTCGGGCGTGCCTTGGAGTTAAGGTAGCTCTGCTCGAAATGGGAACCCTGAAGATGGGAGGAATTGGGTTGTTGCTGGTTCAGACCGCGGAAATGATCATAATTGAAACTGTGCATGAAGGGGCTGTGCATCGGAGCCCCTTCAGGGGTGTTGGAATACATCTGCGACATATGGCCGGGATGACTCATAGAGATGCCAGCACCGGAGTGGTCCTGCATGAAATTCATACTGGTATCGCGTGGGAGCCCATTCTGACCGTTGATTTCTAGGTCCAGCAACTCGTCTGTGTCGATTCCAGAGTTTCCAAAGTTGAAGCTTGATGACATATTCTGTTGTGAACCGAACGGGTAGGACATGAAACCGCTGTTCTGCATGGTCAGCTCCGAGGGATCCACGGCCTCGTTGGAATTTCCAAATTGGTTGTTTATGGAGTAGCCGTTCTGCGACATGATGAAATGGTTGTTGCTGTGATCGTCTGGGTCGCTCTTGATGAAAATGCTCGCTTCACTCATAGCGTTTGAGCAAATAGCATAGACTGACTCCCCGAGATCAACTCAAGAAGAATATAGTACTCGGAAGTTTAAGTGGCGATGGATTGAAGGTCTCAGGGATGTAGCGGGGATTGCGACAATTTGTAAATCCCGGATACTCGAATGGCGAAATGAAGTAATTCTATGGCGATGCACCGACAAATCTGTTATTGCATCGAGAAGGGTACGTGATGACCACTTTGGTAGAGTGCATATGAAAGCTGTCGGTTGTCTGCAAGGCGACCGTCAGCTGGCTAAATTTCAAGGAAAAGGAATCATCCAGAGATGTGAGGGGCTGCACAACGCATGCGCCAATGAAGGAAACACCCCAGAGAAGAATAGGGATGATGATACGTACGCTTGTATGGATAAAAGGAGAAATTGATGCTGGCAGGATGAAGTTGGGTATATTAATGCGGGACAAGTGGCTGTGTGAACCCGTCAAGGGATGTGATTCGGAAGCGGGCGATTCGGAGAATGCGCGCGTATCGTGGGGGGTGTACTAGCTTACTACCAGGCCACACTGACGATCGTCAACCACGCGAAGAATGATGAGTCAAGATCTCGGCAGCCCTAAAAATAAGCACCAGGCAAATGAGAAAAGCACAGAAAAAATTCTGAGGCAATAAATCATAAGAAAGCAAATTTAGAAGATAGAAAGAAATGAAATAAGTCAATCGAGGATCGGAGGATGAGGATGCGTGTCCAGAAGGAATTTAGGTGACGAGAAGGGTGACGATGGTTGTGGCCGGAATATCCAAAAGTAGTCGTAAAACGGAGAAGAGGCGGCCAGACCAAAGCGGACAAGA